TTTTTGAAAATATTTACCTTTTCTCATAAAGAGAACATTCATATTAAAGAAAATGGAGAGTTTAACAAAAAGGGCATGAAAAATACTCATTTTCTGTGGCATGAATGACACAAAGACATGTAGAATACATCTTCTGTTACACAGTTGCCTGGTTGCTAAACTCAAGACACCTAGCATACATCAGTGTTGATATCTGTATCCATGTTTTGATTAGTTTGTATGTACATCTATGCAGTCAGTTTCTGAGACTGCACATCCGAGTAGGTTGCAGCTCACAAATGTGTGCCAACTCTTGCATTGCTAGAAACAGTTTGTCTACTTTTTAGGGGCTCAGCTTTCTGCCACCCTAATGGTCCTAATTCTTTCTGTACCATACGTATTCTATTGATAATGCTATTAGAAGAGCTGAAATAAAACAACTCTTGCAGAACAACGCAAAATGATGTGGATAAGGTCTTTTTATTGTTTGTTTTTTCTTTTAATCCTCAGAGATATAGCCTCTTACTGTTTTCATTCCTTCTTTGAGCAAATTAAAAAGATGTTTCTCTTAATCTAATTTCTTCCACTACATATTTAGGCTGCAGTTCCACCATCTCCAGACTCAGCTAATATAAAGATACAATTATAGGGACACTTTGATGGGTTATACCTGCTAAGATCTTGGATTAAAATTTTCTTTAATTTCATTGAATGAGCAAAAATTATTTTGGAGGAGAAAAATATTCTTTTTGTGCTAATGATGCTATGATACTTTAAAGTGGTGATTTTATGTTGTTGTTAATATTAAGAACAATTAAAACCTCATTGTTTAGAGCTCCTGAAAAGTACACGAAAGTGGTTACATAAGAATCTGATTGCTCTCTTACATCCACTTGCATAGTGCTTTGGGAAATACAGGGCCCTGAAAGAGGCTTCTGGCAGAGTGTTCTTTTGGATTTGGATCCTCTCCTTTGGAATGTACTGAGCTTCTGTATCCAATATTATAGATTATCCATGAGAACACTGGAGTCTCCCTATTACTCTGGGTCATTGAGCTAATACATTTTATAGTTTATATTTGAAAGAATACATGGATCAGAATTAACACCGGAAGCCTCTCAGGAAAAAAAGCTGACAGATTAAATGATACTCTCCGTTTGATCTGCTTAAGTCCTGTGCCTACAGCTCTCCTTAAACAGACTTAACTGTATCCAAAAATGGAAAATACTTTGGGTTTATAGACAGCCCTAATTTGGGCATGTTTGTGATTTTTCTCTCTCTGATAATCTAGTTTGAGCAAAATTATATTGCCCATCTTCTATAAAATATCATCCCACGTTGTCCTCACTTGGCTTTTGTTTAGTGCAAGGAAAAAAACCTCAACCCTGTAACCAAAGTGGAGAACACTACTAATCCTAGTGTGAATGTCTCCCACACAGCCTTACAGTCTAAATAGCAGGTTTGCACAGATTCTTGTATTTTCTGGGCCTTCATTCATATTTTAATTCCTCGGGTAGAATTTATAGTCCACAATGTAAATTTATAGGTCTAGAAACTAACCTCAGTTCCCTTATTTTTTGAGAAATAATAAGTTGTTCGCCTTTGTGAATCAGTGGTATTTATTAAACATTCTCCAGCTGTTACAGCAGCTGCTAACATAGTCAAGCAGATGTGTCAAGACTCTTGTGATTTCTTAAATAAGAGAATGGCATCAGCAGAGCATTCGTCCTTTGAAGTAGGAAAAGCTACATTTTGTAAAATGTTCTTTCTTTTTCTTCAAACAAACTGCCACAAGGAATGCTCTCCTTCTCCTTGTCACAGCTCTTTCCATAGTGTGCCAAGGAGGACTCTCGCAAACTTGCAGGGTGGACAGATATGACCAGTTAGGTAGTAACTGTCCCAAAGGATATATCCTGCATCTCCCCAGCATGGGATATTTGATCTGCTCATAAAGTCTTACAATTCTTAGCCCTTCATATGAATTAAAAAAAAAAAAAAAGCAATTTCATTTTATTTAATATGCTGGCTTGGAAATTGAAGTGATTTTGAGGTCAAAGCTCCTGGTTAAGAAAAATTAAATGGCACTGATTACTGAAATGTAGCTAATGAAACTATGTGATAAGGAAGGTTATTGACTTCTAAAGGGTTTTAGAGGCTCTCAGTAAAAGCTTAATATATTGTGCTCCCAATGTAAAGTCCATTTTATTACAGTGTACAAAATTGGAGTTAGAAAACACAGCTTAGATTTCCTATCTTTAAAATTAGTTAAAAGTTTTCCTGGTTTTATGTCAGTTGCACGGCAATGTGACACTTGAAGCAAAAGGATATGAAGCCAAAGGATACTTTGCAAAATTTTGCCTTGGTAGGGAATTTCATTTACAGCCATTTTGAAAGTCATATAGTCACTTACATAGAAGATTTTGTTTGTTCCCATATTTTGTCTGTTGTCCTTTGCTTTTCAAATGAGAAAATCATATTAGAATTGAGAGATAGAGTTGCTACTGTATTTATCTTTGCAACGCGACCATTGCTAGAGCTCTGATATTCCCAGCCATTTCAATTGCAGTTTACAGTTATTCCATTTCAGATAAGCCTATGGTTAATTTGAGATTGATTTGATTCATCTTGTTAAATTGGGATTGAAATTTTATGAAACCTCTTAAAGGATGAAAAATAGACATGAACACATGCAGTTGTTGAAATGTTTGTCTTGAATAAAATAGAACCGTTAACACTTCTTCTGTGAACAGAACCAAAGCGAGTGACTGACCTCGATGTAACATTGACAGCTGATAATGCAGTCCAAATTAAATGCAAAAATCAAGATGTGTATGGTAACGAAACAGTATTTGTATTGGTTTGGAATGAGGAGAAAAAACAGAATTTCAAGGAGTGTTTTTTTTTAGAGGAAAATCTTTCCTATTTGACAAACTATTCATTTAAGGTATGTATGCTTATAAGTTGACTATATAAAATATTGCTGTATTCTCTTTAAGTGTATTACACTTGTTTGTAGAATAAAGGCAAATATGGTGGCAGATGAGTTGATCTATGGATCTGAGTTGTAAAGTAGCCCCCTATTTGGGGACTGATGAGTGTAAACCAGTTCAGATTCTTTTTGTCTTCATCTCCTTATATCAACCTTTCAAAAGCCAGTCCTGTTTCCATAAAAAATCTATCATCTTCTGAGCTCCCTGTTAACCAATTTCTCTGCCTTCGGCTATTTTCTCTTTGTTTAGGCATTTCATTGTTTTGACTTTTGTTGTTTGTAAAGCCAGTGTCCTGTGTCATCCCCTTGGGGCAGCTAATTATTTGGAATATTTTTGTATCCTGATAATTCCTCACAAAACATTTAGCAGGAAAGTAACTAGTGGGAGTTGACTCCATTTAGGACTCCTTTCAGGAAACATATTCACTTATTTTCCACAATCTTTTTCCTATTTTCTCTGTCCTTCTGAGGAAATGCAGTATCAGAAAGCTTTAGTAGTCTGCATCCTTTTGTTTTGAGGCTTCTGACACTATTTTTCCTGCAGATTCTACTCAGAAGGCTACATACTTGGAAATCTAGATCAAGCTCCAGAAAGAGCAAAAGATGTTTATGTTGTCCCCATGGTACAGACCTTGGTTGTAAGCTTTTCTCATGCCATTTTGCTTCACAGAAGAAATTGGCTTCTGGCTGGCTCCAAAGGCTGTCTTGTGCTGCCAAATTATTTTGCCCAGCTCTTACTGGAGAAACCAGAGGAAGTCCTACTGCCTTTGCTAGTAATAAAGGGATTCTGGGTCAACTTCTCTGAGACGCTCAAGAAAAAATGATTCAGATGTCATGATTCTCTGTGACAGATTCCCTTCTATGTGCAAATAAACCATAGTTTATCCAGGACAGTTTTTCATTTAATGAAGTTTTTGACCCCAACCACAGCAATTAGTTTCTGGCTTTAACTGTTTGTGATGCTTCTTGCTTTCTTTCACTGCCATCTCTGCTGCTGCTCCAGATACTGCCACTTTTTCACCACTCAGCAAATGGCTTTCTTTCCAGCTGCAGAATTCAGAAACCATCAGCACCCAGAACACATCAGCCTTTTAGAGCAGTGAGGGAGGAAGCTGAGACTGAATTCTCTGAGTTATTAGGAAAGATTTCTCCTAAGGAATTGGATAGACTTAGTAAGAACTCGTAGACTGCAGTCAGTGACAGTGCTGGAAACCCTTGTCCTTCTCTATTGGATGATTTGCTGCAGGACAATACTACCTTTTAAATCAATATTATTCAATACTGCTAGTTCTCTCTACTGTTCAGTATTAAATCTTTAAGTCAAAATTAATCCTAAGATACATTTTTCTTTGACAGAAAGATGTAACATATTTTACATGCAAACTTCAAGCTGCCTATTAGATGTAATAGGATTTTCTGTTAAAGAAATTAAAAAGAATGGATTAATGGAAAATATATTCTAAAATATAAACAGATCAAAGTAAAGTTAGTATTTCAATTCTAGTTAAAGTATCCTAAAAATTAATGTTGGAATAAAGGAGCTTATTGCACAAATTTATTTTGCTTTTATAATTTAACTTTTTATATATATAACTTCCAGTATAGGGACTTGTGTTAAAAATACCTGATTCAATTACATATTTGTATATTTATTGATTAAGCAAATAAAATACTGATTTTTTTACTACACATCACATTTTTTTCAGATTTGAGATCATGTTGTAAAATATGTCTCCTATTTCACTAACGTTTTTATTCAGTCATCTACATACTTTTACGACCTAGATCTCATAACTTAGGAGGAAACCTGAGCTCCACTGTGTATAGCTGTACAAGGCTTGACTGCAGATCCTGCTGTCAGTCAAATTAATTCATTGAAAATAGATGGAACTATTTTGAATATGAAATGAAACTTTTTATTTTATTCTATTTTATGCAGACGTTTTTACTTGTTATATCCTAACATCTCTATTGTTCTTATCCACTGCATACAGATTTTTGTGCGTAATGAAAAATATAACGGAGAAGATACATATAGTAGTGTAAAAACCAGATGTAAGTAAATGTATATAGCATTTTTACTTTTAGACTTTTCTCAACATCCATAACATAGTATAGAGTAATAGTGTAAATTTCAAACTCTATTATAATTGTTCCTAATTAAAAATCCTCCATTTTTATTAATCTGCATTTTTGTTAATCTGCATTTGAAGACATAGTATCCTTGATCAGCATTAATGTAATGGATCATGTTCACAAGTCGCTGTGGCTTCCTCAGAAAACATTCTAATGTGACTAGAAATTCATTCTTCTAACTTAAGTTATTAATTTTAGAAATTTTTTCCTGTGTTCAGATCCTGCGTTCCTGGAGCTGAACATCTGTGACTTCTCAAGGAGTCTCAGCTCCTGTGGAGTCTGTGTGTCCAATAGCAAGTACTATGAGAAGGTCAAAGTATTGTAGACATGGATAGAGTAAGCTGTGACACTGCAGAAGGTTTAATTTTGACAGACAGAACTTTCTTTTAAGTAATTACTTAACTAAAGTAACTCCAACCTTATAAGGCTGGAAGGCTTTTTCCACTGTGGTTCCCGGAGCTTTAGAGGCCCGCTGTACACGTTCTGCTTTTTACTTCCGTGTCTGGCAGTGGAGTCTGACCGACAGCCAAAGGCCCAGGTCATATTAAAGGCTTAGAAAGCACATCACCTTCATTTACACAGGCACAGAAAGCACCCTGTGCCCTGCAACGCCATTCTCGCTATTGATGCCTGCAGGGTCTCGGTTATGCCCAGCAGCAGCAGGGCCGGGCGTTTGGGATCCCTGCGGTAGCTGCCTGGGCCTCTGCAGCGGAGGGCAAGGTGCAAGGAAGCAGGCAGTGCACTGGCCTTCCTGGTTGCATCTTCGCTACCAGACGGGGCAGCTGCTTCCTGACTGCTCAAGATGTGCACAGCTGAGGAGCTCTGAGAGGCTTTAGCCTTTCACGAGATGTATGAAGAACTTTATTGTCCCAGCTGTCATTGCCTGATAACAAAATGGAAATTATTTTCATGGATTCTCCGTTCAATGCCCACGAGAGGCAACCACCCAATTAGTGAACTATGTTCAGCAGTCCTTCCCTCCTGCTG